CCAGTCTAGGCTACATAGTTCTGTGTCAGCCTGAGCCATATAGTAAGACCCTGTCTCAAAAAGAAAAAAACAGTATTAACATATACTTCCGCTTTTACTAATACTAGTTAATCCTATCAAAAGTTAAGGTTTTCTATGTAATAACTATTGTCCCTTGTTTTGATATTTATTTATTTATTTTATTTATTTTGGGGGGGTACTGGGGCTTGAACTCGGGTCCTTGGGCTTGTAAGTTGTTCTGATTTTGAAATTGCAGGTTCACTGAGGCAACAAAGGCAAACTTACTTGAATTGTGGGTTGGTTGGTAATGGCTAGTGGCTGTCCACACATCTGGAGTTGTCCACAGTCTGAGACCCACAGAGACGATAATACACATTTATCTAAATATCATGTTGGGGCCAGGGATTTAGCTCAGTGGTTCTGCTGCCTGCCTTGCAAGTGCAAGGACCCAAGTTCAATCCCCGGTACCAAAAAAAAAAGAAAAAAAAGATCATGTATATATTAAAAAACTGATTCTGTGCCCGTCATCCCCACGAAGTCAGAGGACATAGGCACAGTTTATTCCTGACATGTGCCCTCTCCTCCCTCATATCCTGGCTCACCACCTCATCAGCATCACCCTCCGTGGGGTGTGGAGGCGCTAGGCAGAGGGCAGGAACAGAGGTTCCGCAGGTGTCCAGTGCTGCCTGACTCCAGGGATAGGCTGCTGCAGGCTTCCTTTGGTCAGGAGTTAGCATTCCGGCCAGCCTGCATCCGTACCCATGACGGCCCCTTAGGTTGCTTTTTTTTTTTTTAAATCAGTTGCCAAGTGCTGCTTTCAGGGGATGTGTTTCAGCAGGGCAAGAAACCAGAGGCTGCCACTATTTGAGTAGATCCTGGAGATGACATAGCCCAGGCCACAGAGTCTGTCTCCCAAAGACAGACATTTGCAGAGCTGAAAATGGGGAGGTGGAGTGTCCAGAAAGCAACCAGCAGACCACAATTCCCAGGAAAGAATATTTCCTCGGGGATCACTGAAGTGTGATGAGTTCATCTCTAAGGCTCCGATTGATGGTTCTTGTCCTGTCTCCTGAGCTCCTCCCTTTGTCTTTGCCATCCCTGCCCTCTTAGCTCTTCTCTTCCATTTCCCCCTGCCCTTTGTCCATTCCTATTTCCTTACCATTTCTTACTTAGGTAACCTACAGATCCAAAATGGAAGTATTCATTAGATCACTTTTCACGAGGAAGTCGCTAACCTTTGCAGCTCCCTACTACAAGGTAAACATTCTAAATTCTTAAAATTAAATTCTATAGATAAACTTGTTTATGGAAATGTACAGGGGACCCAAGAAAACTGACGTAGAACAAACTGCATTGTGGAATCAGATAAAATGACAAGAATGCAAAAGGCTTTTGGTGTGTTTCCTCTTCAAGTGTTACTTTGTGTTTATCAAATGTGACTATTGGATAAAAAGTGTTATTCATTGCAGTGGCTTCATATATTTCTCTTCCCACCTCTTGGTTTTAATGCTGGAAGCCATTATGGAAAGCTTTCGGGATAGTTTCAAGAGTTACTCTTTGGTGAGAGGAAGAAGCTCGCAGATCATTCGCTCCTGCTGTGACCCACCAGAGTCAAACTCCAGGACAGGGCTGAGTTTTGTTTCTGTTTTTCCAGTGTTGCATAGGAATTCCATGTTACCAAAGCCAAAGGGAGCAGGCAGGCCCGTGAATGAGGAGAGATGGCTATGGGGTGGAACAACCACACCTTTCCCTCTCTGATCTGCACACAAAGAATTCCATTTTAGGGTTTGAAATGATACGAGACCTGAATGTTGAATGCTCTGACTGAACCTCGATAATCGTTTAGCCCTCTGCTTACCAAAAGTGTGTTTTATTGTCCTTTCCTCCTATACTTAATTGGGGGGAAATAGCAAACATTTAAAATAATGAGCATGAGCACCGAAACTGCTAGGAAGTGGCCACGAAGCAAATTCTTACCGGCTTCTCCTCTGGCTTTTCATTCTGTTTATTGGGTAAAGAAAAAGTGGAGGCCAGGTGTGTTTTACTGTAAATTCCCAGACGAACAGCTAGGATAAGAATGGTAGGTAGCAGGTAATGAGCCAGGTTTTGGTATAGGTGTTTTCTGTACTTTGCGTAATTTAATCCTTGCAGTACTCTCACGTACAGTAGTTGGTGCTGTCTCAGCTTCTCCATCGAATACATGAGACTGAGTGTGTCCAAGAAACTGGGTCAAGATTACAAAGCCTGAAAGTGACAGGAATTCGAGCACAAGAAAGCTGGCCCACGGAGCCTGCCTTTGGACCACTGCCCTCCTGCCTCCTCCAGGGAACCGGGGCCGGAAATGTAGTTTGCATTGACCATAAAGATCGGATGGAGTCCCCAGCACATTCCGCTTCTTTAGTAGAGATGAAAAGTCCTTACAAGTGTTACTTACTAGAAAGAAAAGGGTTTGCTTAGGAGGGAGACAGGCTCGCAGGCTGTGTTTCCTGAGAGAACCCCTCACAGGTGGGGACCCCCATAGTACCCAGGACACTACAGTTACCCCAAGCCCTCCCCTGCCCTGCCCTCCTGGGGCCCCTTTCGAGTAGGTCAGAGGTCTCCGGTCTAAGGCTATTCAGAAGCAGTAAGTATTCAGCCGTCCAAGTATTAGAAGCACGAGTGTGGCTGCTAATGTGGGACTGGCTTGTCACAGGGTCTGTGGCTGGAGTAATGTAGACAGACGTGCGCTGCTGCAGCCACACTGGGATCAGAACCTGTGTGACCCAGGGTTCATCCGTGTCCCTGCGCACGAGTGGTGTCCTAACGCCACAGGAATGCTCAGCACACCACAAAAGGCTGCCAGCCTGGGGTGACATCGCCCTGTGTTCTACAGTCGCCCCAGGTACAAAACGCTTCCTTTTGTGTCCTTTGTACAGGTCACTGCAGTTCTTGACCGAACTCAAAGGGGTGCCGTGAAACAATGGCTTCTCTTGGTGCTGGGTTGTGCTGGTTACTGGGGTTGGTGGCTGCTTGTCTGACTCCAAGGAGGCCGGCCTGCAGGAGAGGCCCCTGCTGATGCTGATGTAGACGTCATCTTCAAAGTTGTGCAGAAGCTGATTCCAGAGTTTTCCAATGTAATTTAAAAGGGGGAAAAAATTCAAGGTTCAAGGAGGTTCGGGAAATGTGAGATTAAAAGGTTAAAAAAAAATCTGCGGTATTCTCAGAGCCCTTACCCCAATAAATGGAATCATGATTCCATAAGAGGTGACGGATTAAGTCTCCTGTGTCTCCCAGACCCATTTGATAAATGTTTGTCACAACACATTCTGGGCCCAGTGTTTCTTGGAAGTACGGAGTTGGTGAGAACAGTGTGGATCCTGACTACAAACCCCAGCTCTGCCACTCACAGTGGTTTTAACACACTGAATTTCATTGTGCCACACTTTCCTCATCTGCAAAATACAGACAGTAATAAAACACCTCAGTGCTGCACAGAGCGCTCACCATCGTAGTTACTATTCTTTCAGCCCTCTCTATACTAACAGGGGAGGCCCACGGTGCCTCAAGTATAAACCCCATTTTGAACCAGGGTGCGTGTGAACCAGAGACCATATAAAGGCCTGGGGTTTAGGGGGAATCTCAGCAGAGTTTCCAATTTAAATCATTTGTCTAGTCAGTATGGCCACAGAGACAGGCTAAAATTAAAACGTTGACTGAGTAAAGGTACAATGAAATAAAAACGGAACACTGGGCAGTGGCAAGAACTATTATGTTCATCAAATGTGGACTGGGTTGAAGTAGATATTTCGAGTTATGAGTAGGATGTAACAGTAGACTTTGCTTAAAATCCCGGTTTCCTAGATGTGAGTGCAGAGTGAAGGCTGACAGTGTTTCCTCTGGGGAGAAGGCCGAGAGAGCGACACAGCATGGGAAGGTGACCGTTCATCCCTCACACAGTAAAACAGGAGTTCACACACACGACTGGACTGGAAACAACACTGTAATAAGTGCCAGGATAGCAACCTGCTGAGGAATCCTAGAAAATTACTGAGTGTACTGGTGCTGATGGCCCGGGCGTGTGTGCAGGTGTGCGTGTGTGTGTGTGTGTGTGTGTGTGTGTGTGTGCCTGCGCGCGCGCTCGTGTGTGCGTGTACGCGCGCGAGGAAGGCTTCCGATCCGGAGCCCAGGCTTTGATCGACCCACACCAAGCACAAACGCGACCGGATCGGCGGTGCAGGACGGACCTACCCTCGCGAGCTAGCGATCAGACCGCAAAGCCCTAGGCGCTGCCTCCTCGGCGCGGAGGAGCAGACTCCAGCTGTAACCCTAGCACGTCACTTTGTTGAAGGCAAACACGTGGTTCGGAGAGAACTTATAAATCTCTCCTTCCGGCGAGATCGTGATGTTATCTGCTGGCAGCAGAAGGTTCGCTGTGCGCGGAGCTCGGGAGCTGCCGGCGAGAGAGCGAGGAGCGGGCGCCCGGGATGCGGGCCTCGGGGTAGCGGAGCAG